TAACAATGAGTTATCACGGGAAAAAGCAAGTGCTTAAAAAGTCTCGTACTGTGGTTGAGGAGACTACGATGAAATCAAACTATATGAGGTTCATCTACCAATCGTCTATCGAAATGAATGTGTTGATCAATAACGTCAGTATAACATAAAAATCACAGGTAAGCATGCAAAAATACACTGGGTACAGTGGTTGTTGAGGTCAGGCGTGAGAAAAGTGAAATATGGTAGCTCACCTATTCACCACCTTCTTGGCTCCATGTGATACATAAATCCTTCAGAAGGGCATGATTGGCTTTATCAAAAATGGCGTAATTTAGGTAAAAAAAAACTGTTGGGAGTTAAGAGCAAGATCCATCCGTTTTTTTGAAAATGTCCAAATTAGGGAAGGGTATAACGGAGGCTGGGAGTACGTTCCAGGGTTGGCGAACCCGAAGGGAAAAGTAATTCCGCCGACAATCCAGACGGCTATATTGTCCCCTCAATTTCAAGCTGTTACACCTTAGCTGCGTGTTGTGGGTAAGTTTCAGCAAATGGCGACATACATTATTGGGTCACGCAATAGTTGCCACGCTAATATGAGATGGCCGCGCAGCCTTCGGTAGTGTCCGCAGAATGTTCACAGCAACTTTACTCCGCTCAATCATCATCATCATCATTACACGTTAGCTGGAGGTGGAAAACACCTCAGCTATTGTGCCGCAATACAAAAGGCAAGAAAAGAAAAAACAAACAAACAGTGGCACGCCCGCTGAGTCCCCAGTAACGGATGGACATCGTTCCGGAGAGCTAACAGCTGGCTGCCGTAAAAGAAAGTCATATTATGCCTAACGATTGAGATCGTGATTGGAGGGGGATGCTAAACAGGAGGGGGATGGACAAAGGAACTCACAACACAAACGCCATTGGGCCGGCTCCTAGCCCTATCAGCAAGTGTGTCCAACCGAACGTGTTCACCGTCCTTAGGACCCCAGCCAGGCAGTCGGGATGCACCAACCGAGGCCAACTTAGAAGTGAGGGTTTTCATTTCTCTCGTCGAAGTCATCACTTGTCCTCTCCTCCTCCTATTCCAACCGCGCCCACAACGCGCAAACAATAGCACGGCGCGGGAGTCGATATGCTGGCATGCGCAAGCCATGGCCCAGCCATCGGAGCCTGTTGCGTGATATAATCGTGCTGTGCGGTTCACTCGCTCTGCCGGCACAAAATACGCGACGGCCTACACGCTCATTGCTCACGCGGTGTTCCAACCAAACGTGAGCTAAGCTGCGAGGGCAGCGATGATCGAATGTGACGAGTCTCTTCATGTCTGTCGACCTGATGGCCACGCTATCACAGCCATATAGGAGAGTTGAACGGACGGCTGCGTTGTAAACTCTGCCCTTGAGGGCGAGAGTAATGTCGCGTCTGCGCCACAGGTGGCGGAGATTGGCAAAAGCACCTCGAGCTTTTGCTATACGGTTCGTAACCTCATCTTCAATCCCACGGGTGCTAATATAGCTGCCCAGGTACTTGAATTCCTGAACGACTTCTAGCAGATCACCACCAAGCGTTAGCGCAGGATTGGGTCCCTGCCAATCTTGGAGAAGTACTTTGCATTTTGATGGAGCAAAGCATAGCCTAAAACGACTGACAGCCAGTGCTAATCGGTTCACTGCTGTTTGGCATGTTTGGGAGCTGTCACAGATTAGGGCAATGTCGTCCGCATACTCCAATTCAAGAAGTCGCTCACCAAGGAGTAGCTCCACACCTTCTAGGTCGTGTCCAGCGAACGCTGTTTCCATGACTTCATCAATAGCGAAGTTGAAGAGGAAAGGTGACAGCGGGCATCCTTGTCTCACACCGCTGGTGATACTGAAGGGTGGCGAGAGTTTGCCATAAACCCTCACCCTGCCCGAACTATGTGCGTACAGCGCTTTGATAATGTTTACATATTTATCAGGCACACCTTTCCTCAACAGACAGTCCCAAAGGGCACATCGATCGACTGAGTCGAAGGCACCTTTTTAATGTCAAGAAACACGACAACGGTGGGTCGCCAATAAACATGGCGGTGCTCCAACACTTGACGCAATGTGAAGATGTGGTCGATGCAGCCCCTACCTCGACGAAATCCGGCTTGCTCTTCACGAATTTGGCTTTCACGAGTGCCAGTCAGTCTGTGGAGAATGAGAGAGGCAAGCAATTTAGAGGTAATCGAAATCAGACTGATCCCTCTATGATTACCACATACCAAACGGGAGCCTCCCTTGAAAATTGGGACAATGACGGAGCGGTTCCAGTCTGTCGGGACTGTCTCCTGCTCCCAAAGTTTTACTAGCAACTCGTGTAGATCACCTATTAGAGCAGGTCCACCGAACTTGAAGAGGGCTGGAGGAATAGTATCTGCCCCTGCGGCCTTTTGCAATTTCAACAGCCTGATCTCACGTTCGACTTCAGCGCGTGAGGGCGGATCCAGGGAGACGGCCCAAGGAGAAGGGCGTTCAATGCCCGAAGAAAGTGATAACTCAGGTTGGTTAAATTGCATAGCAAAGTGTTCAGCCCAACGCACTTTACTCCGCTGGTAAGAGTGATAGGGCAGGCCCTTTACATTCTTTGTTGCACTTCGTTTTGGTGCCTCTAACGCCTCTAGGTCGCGCTGCAACCAAGGTTGCCAAGGTTGGATGGCATATTCAACATGCGGGCGCACGTAGGAATTGTGCGTCATTGGGAACATTGTTGGGTCAAATCGCCTGAATGCCCTTCGCAGCATGCCGACGTGCTGGTTGCCTCTTTTGCAGCTACCTCAGCCTGTTTTAAACAGTTGAGGTAGCTCTGTACGAGCACACCAAGATCATATTCCTAGGAGGTGGTCGGCAATCCGTTTGTCCCAAGTACATAGGTGTAGTTATGTTTATGGTTTAATTGTACAACGCGACATTTGGCTACGTTGAATGGTGGGGCGTTATGGACTGACCTGTTTGACACTGTGTTTACCTCGCACTGGAGCCGTTCGTGGTCGTCCAGTCCTCTGATCCTTCGCCATATCTTGATATCATCTGCGAAAAATAGGAAATCGGAAGCATTTAATCTCGCCAAATCGTTAATGAACACCAAGAATAGACAGGGTCCAAGCACCGAGTCTTATGGTACATCATACCACATAGATTGCATCGGACAATGACTCTCGCACTCTCACTGCCAGTCGTTGTTCCTGTAGGAAATTGGTATTCCAACTCAGGTTTGGGTCGCCAATGCTGTGTTTCCGAAGCTTCTGAAGGAGAAAACGATGATCTAAGCCATTGAATGCTTTTGCAAAGTCCATATAGATGAGATCGACTCCTGCTCCATCATCAACAGATTCAGTCCAGCTAGTACGTTAAATTAATAGGTTAGTATTACACGAGAGCTTTTGACAAAAGCTATGTTGCTCTGGGGCTATTAAGTTGTGGCTTTCCAGATATTGCATCAGCGCATCTGCGATGATTGTTTCCATCACTTTAGACAGTACAGGAAGTAATGTTATTTGACGGTGGTTGGTAGGGTCAGTGCGGCTACCTCCTTGGTGGATAGGGGTGATGATCCTTCGCTTCCTTACTGGTGGAATATGGTTCTCTTCTAGACATCGCTGATCTAAAACAGCCTACAGAGCCTTTGGTCGGATGTTATCGAGTCCAGGAGAACTGTGGATACGCAAGCATAACAACTTCTTCAATACAGCTTCCGCAGTGAAGTTGATGTTGTATAAACCCGACGGTAGAGTAACAGAAACTAGGAGGATGTTTGGGTTGGTTAAATGCTGGAAAGTTTTGGGAGTAATGAAGCTGTTGGAGATCGGATGCTTCCATTGCTAACTGCGAGCATCCATCAGCCGTGACCAGTTCTGGAATCCTTCGCTTCACCTTTCGAAGGCCCTTAACTCGTCTGTACAGAAGTTTGTGGTTTGTATAGCATCGCTTCAGTAACTCCTGCTGATGGGTGAACTTGTCCTCGCGGATCAAGTTCAAATAGAAGTTCCGATATGTCAAGCATGCACTCCGGGTTTCGGTATTTCATGCACTCCTTGTGAGCACACTATGCCAAAGCCCTCAGGGACATGCATTTACGTGTTTTGCTCCTCATCAATGACTTAAATTTGTTTTTAGGTTGGAAAGACTTCTGCTCCGATACCTGCTGCAGCAGTGTGTTTGATGTCCTTGTGAACATTTCCCAGGCAACATTTGGAGGGCATTCGTTGAAGAAAGTCCAAGGTTTAACCTTAACAAGCGTCAATAACACCTTATAGTGAGTCAGAGTATGCACTTTATCGGTTGAGAAGACTGAGACACTAGTATGGCCATACTCACTTCCAGGGCGCGATCCTAGTATTCACCACGTGTGCGATTGTCGCAGGCAAACTAGCGTAGTTCTCCATGAGCACACAAACAGTTGACAACTGAAATGACACGACATATTGGAGGAAAGCAAAACGCCTCGGGTACTTTGTTTAGCTGCATCATTTTTTGGACAGAATTTATACTTAGGATAGAACGAACTAATGCAATTTGGACACCCTAACCTCATCTTAAGGACATCACCGCATTGCTCTGAGGAGCACATGCCGGTTTGCATCATGCTGTCTGTACCTACTTGATCTCGTACCGACTGTGAGGGTACCGCAAACAGGCTACATAATCTCGGTCACAACTTGGTCGTCTTTAATTGCGTTGCCACACGACTGGTGAGACAGATTGTTCGGTAGATCGATCGGTGGGCGCGGCTTACCGGTGAACCCGGAACATAAGCTGGATCCGAATGACGGGCAAACAATGGATCACAAATTGTTCGAAAGATGAGCAAAACGTCTATGAACTTTCAACTCCGATCGTTTTTCTAGTTCTTACGGAATATCGTAAAAACATCGATTAACTCACACTTGAGATACCATTGTCAGTTGTAATCGTTCCCGGAATTTAACTTTCTGTATGCTTCTCTTCTATTTCTATCAGTTATTTACCGGTTATAACTGCAAATGGATTAAATTCACATAGACCCATTGTGTTTTGGTGCACCGGCCACTTTCGGTCAACTGAAGCGAACAAATATATTTATCAAAATATCCAAGTGCAACATAATCTATCGAAAGTCAAGAAAATTGTTACCTGAAGAAGAACTGACTGAGGCGCAAAAGATGAATGGAAATACTAGAAGTTGTCAAGGTAATATCACGTATACAATCGCCTTCGAAATCCACTTTTAGCCACCTCCATCAAGAACTCTGTCTAGGCAGCTGTGGATTTATGCGCGGTGTAGCAGGATAAAAATCAGTTTTGCTGATGGTTGACTGACTGGGTGTGAAAAGTGATCGTTCCGTATTTATGGTGTGGCTTGGAGGAGTTTCAAGGGGAGTAACCGCATTCTGCACCCACGTGGAGTTTCCAGGAGAATGCCTTTTTACTGGGGTACGCGTTGTTTTTCCTTGTTGTCTAGGCAGTTTGCCTTTTACCACTGGGATAGGATGTGGTGACCGAAACGCCGATTCAATTGGTTTTGTATCCGATAAATGTGCTTGTCTGCAATCCCTTGCATCGCGTATCTGAGGGAGGACAGGTAGACGAACGGAACGGCTGCATATAAGCAAACTGAGAGAGCGGGTTTCTTTCATTGACCACGGATCGACAAACTCGGTGCTCTTTCCTAGTCCCTCCCACCCCACATGGGTAGATGATGACGTGTGCATCATTATTACACGAAGCAGATACTTATTGTTATTGATTAATGCGCATTCAAATGAATCACGACACGGCACACAGGGGTCAAACAGGCTTTTCTAGGTGATGTGGCGTATTTAATCGGACTAACTCTGATGCTCGAAACATAAGTTCCCCAGACTGAGCAAATGGCAAAAGAGAACAATCATTTTAGAGAAACTATAAGAAAACGATTTAAACGATTGGGGTGAATGGTGACATTTTGTGATCCAGGCAGATGTCATTTCTCGGATATGAAAGTGATTCAACACACCTGGTTGGTAGTTGCTGCTGCTGCAGTAGCCGAACAGTGAGGTAGAAGAGCCGCTTAGGTCAACGACGAAGCGAATGGGCCAGATAAATTAAAGGTTCACTGCATCTAGGGTTGTACTAAAGCAGCTATTGTGTTTATTCATTTAATAAAGGCACCTTGGAATTTTAGTGGACCTAAAGCAGGTACGACTGCTCCAATACTCGGTAGAATACAAGTAACAGGGAAAATGGAGTGTAGCGGACTAACGACAAAAGAAGCACGTGTTTCAGCCGCAGATATATGTTTAGGAAATTTGGATACAGAAACAGCGTGTGTCTCGTAGCCTCCAGGAACAAGTACGCAAGTTGGTGGCACTCCGTGGTCAGAACTGATGCGTATGGTTGCGGAGATTTGCCGCGATGAATGACTTCATTCGCACATTGAGTTATTCACTAGCAAAAGGGACTTTTACTCCAAAAATATCATCGGTAACGGTCAGTATTCTTGAATATTGCGATCGTTTATTTGCTACAGGAATGACATGGTTCGCGAAGATCATTTCATTTCAGAATCATTATCATTCCACACACTAGCCGAAGGGGCGAAGTGCCTTAGCAATAGCGCAGCTATAAAATGCGGCAAGGAATTCGAGAAGAAAACATATAAAATAGTAATAGTGTGGGGTGCAAAACAGAATGGAAATTTTAAACAACCTATTAGTGTGGTTAGTGGGCAACGTTTCTCTTTTACAAATCAGAACTCAAGTCTGATGGTTGCTGGCACGTTATGCCGGTGGAACCGGTGCGTGGCCAGTGGAATAAAAAGCAAAATCAGCGCAACCAGTGCGAGTTGACCACGCTTACAGTGGCCAGGTGAACAGGGGGAATTGAGTTGCACTGTTAAGAGTCAGGCATGCCTTTTATTACGGAGAAAAGCAACCGAGTCGACCACACACGATACTGACCCGGAGCGGATGGCTCATGGTACGATAGTGCCTAGTCGACCGATCAGGCGGAATAAACGAAGCTGGCAGGTAACTGGCAAATAATCAGCGCCGCTGGCACGAAACAATCACATTCGTAACGACCAAATGAGCAGCTCAAAATGTGGGTTGTGGTATTGGAAACAAAGCGCAAGTTTGTTTCCTTCGATAGGAGTATTCTAAACAGTTACGGATGAACAGTACGTGCGTGGCAATGTAGTCAGGTGGATGGTTAGCAAGAATCAGCCATAGAAAGTAATTTTCAGTGAAATAGTGATTAAAATTTAGGTACAGTATAACACGAGACTTTATTCACTATTAACTGATGTTGCATCGCTGGCCAAGCGTTGCGTTGATTCCCTGCGGGCTACTTCAAAATGATGAGAGATGAGAAGAAGCCGACACGACGAACTCTGCTACTTTCCATGGGCAACCGGCAGTACTAGTGTCAGCACCGCTGCAGATGCCAGAGAACGAGCTGCCCGACAACTGGGGGGTCGAAGGCAGTGTGGCTAGACTTCGTATGCACCAAAAATCTTGGTTCTTTATTTGCAGTTGTTTGCCCCTTGAATCATCCGAAGACAAAGTAACCGAGTTAAAGATTCTGATGCGAACGTGCAAATGTTGCGATTGTTTGTGCGGTTAATATTTGATTGCTTGGATCGAGGTAGGTAAAAAAATGAGGAGCTGACGGAGTGCTTTATGCCGCAGAGAGGCAGCTCTGTAGCAGTACAATGACACCTGTCTTAGAGAGCAAGGACGGCTCAACAGGTTCACCAATTCAGAGTAGAGACAATGACTGAGATCATTGCAATGGTCCGGAATCGTGGACGTTTATCGCAAGCACCGGATGGAAAATTGTTTGGTCGTGTGCATCCGAAATAAAGTGCTAATTGCCCGGCACGGTGCAGTGCCTGTGTGAAATGACTTACTAGGATCCCTTTTGCATGTTGATGTCAAACTCTCAATACTGAGTTATAGACATTGACAGTCAACTGGTGTCGCGTGAACCATCCGTAAATAACATGGCAAAAGTGATCAGCAAGTTTGTCTATTTCAGACGCGGCTCACTGAAGAATTGTCTGAGGGTTTTCATTTGAATTCCAGCTACCATGTTAAAATTCTGCTCTTCTACTGGCTCTGATTTATTGACCGTATCCCTCGGTGGCATGCTATTGTCTGTGGGCTCTATTCACCGTTCACATCGGGTCAGCCTAATTGAAGAGAACCAGTTAATCGACATCTTCATCTGTGTATCTTAATTTACCTCATTAAATAAAGTTCTTAGTGAGGATTTCTACTTACCCGATCGACATTGAGTCTACCCTGGCATGGACGGAGCGTCGTTTACCCCTTCATGTGTGCAGAGGCTAAAGCGGTGACCTGATGGACAGTGCTTGTCTTCGTGTGCTAGAAATACTCAATCGACTGACGACCCGTTGGGTTTGTCCACAAATTTTACTATCAATATTTGTTCCAGCCTGATAAACAATTATCGAAAATTTTCGTTCGATTATAAAGAGAGTTGCTGATATTTGCTAGCCCAACTTGGTAGCTAATGCGAAGCACTCGGAGTTCATAACCACTCTGACCACTGCCGCAGGGTAACAACATGTTCTCGTGCCTACCGAGGGAAGAATATACTAGGCAGGGTATTTTTCTACCTCAGTCTGGTACTTGATAAGCACTAACACATGAATGGTCTCGCTGGCTGTAATCACACTATAGCTAGTCGCAAAATGGCCTCTTAACCATTGTATATGTGTACGGTAATGGTCCCATATTTCTTCGAAATCTTAAATGGGAACACTCTCCTCTTTGCTTAGGTCACAAAACTGAAAATCTTCTTTCTTTCACATGATATTTTGAGAGTATTTGAGGTCCTCTATGGCGGTGTGGATTTTAGCTTAAGCATGCTTGCCCTAAGTGATAGCAAACTAGGTAAACGGGCTATCTCCAAGCCCCGTCAACACGACAAATAAGCGGCAAGTACGAATTTTAACTCAAGGGTGCTAAAAGTCACGCGATTTCAGCGTATTACTGAGACAACGAATGGTGATTGAAGCCGAAACGGAAATATAACAGTCTCTGGGAGGCAAGAAAAACTGCTACATAAAGCAGAATCCGATTCAACACTTGTCAGCACACATGCGACAACCGAACTACCTTCCGTATAACGGGACGCCTTCCGAAGTTTCACTCTTAAAAAGAATCCTTATCGTCCCAATACACGCAGTAGTACGCCGTGGTTTCTTCGGCTTGAAGAAGATTTGCGTCAGAAGCAAAACACTGTCCACCAACTTTACCAATCGGTTGCTTCCAAACACTTCTGAAACCATGAATTTTCCTGATGGTTCCGAGAACTTTTTAAGTGATATTATGCATCTTAATGATTTACTTCGAACCTGAGATGGTGGTGAGAGGAGAAAGTTAAGCAACATTGTTAGGATCATCATCCTCATCCTCATCATCACCATCACCAACAGCAGTACCTCAGCCATTTGAACTTATGCTTCGCTGCCATACAACCATGAGAACCTATGAAATAAAGAAGTGGGAGAGAAAGGGCACTTACCTGAAAACGTTAATGTCCTAAGCAAGCATTCAGGGTCAAACCGCCTGCACCGTCACAAACAGCTGGCTATCGTGCAAAGATAAGGCGGCTTCGGCGAGACGGCCTCCTTGCGGCTTTCACTGCCACGCGTCATAATCAGCCATTACTCCGCAGATAACTCAGCACCAGACGCATTTTAAACAGGCAATCCAATTAGGTGACAGCAGCAGACGCGCCACTGGTGTCGGTTGCGAGCCATCTCCTGTAAAGTCTCGAGCCAAGCACAAGGCGAGTCACCTGGACTCCAGCCTGGAAGACGATCCAGACCAACGGCACCCGGTTTAGTCGTCAGTGACTTTATTACCCGGTGCCAAGTCAACTTCTGTCCACCTCGAGCCTTGCGTCACCCTACACCTGGCAGACTAAACAAGGCCCTCTTAGGTAAGCGGTGACCACGCATGCGTAGCACGTGCCCGAGCCAAGGCAAATTATGCAGTGCCATCTGTCGACTCTATGTACTTAGCATGATTATCACTACCTAGTACTCGCCTATGCACATCATCGTTTCGGACACGCTGGTGCCATCCGACACAAGCAATGCTTCGCAGACAACGACGATCAAAGACTTGAAGGCGCCTCAGATCTTCAGACGGAACGGGGCCAAGTTTCACTCCCATAGAGCAGACCGGCCCACACTGTGGACCTGTATACAAGGCGTTTCAGACGGAGGGAAATTCCCTTCTGTCGCCAAAGATGCCGTAGGCACAAGAATGCAGCTCCGGGCTTTGCAGTGCGTGAGCTGATATCAGTTTCTATGCGCCCATCCTTCTTGATGAAGTTGTCAAGATAAATGAATTGATCAACATTTGCTTAAAATAAATTTTCTGACAAATTGAACCTTCTGCGGATGTTCGTAATCAATTTGTTTTATACGCTCATTTAGTGAAGAGTTGTCACCGTACCTGTATGCATTACCCGATTTATTTTATTTGCTATCGTCGTTACAAGTGATTGGCTGTTGTTTGACATTTCCGATGTGGCGGCGCTTGACGTGTATGTTGACATGGTGCCTAACTGTCTATTACCCACTGCCTCGTCCATAGTGGCTCCAGGAGACAGTTGGTCGTTGCTAGAGTGGACGAGGTGCACGGTCCTGGTGGTCGTACTAGGCTCAAGGAGTGGTTCCATGCACTCAGTGTGGAGCGGACTACGGTTCAGCCACCGCCTTGTGT